TTTGCACAAACCGTTAGTTTGTGCCATCGGAGATACCAAACCTTTAAAAATGTGTGGGGCCAGTCCAAAATGACGATTTTCGTCTGTTTGACCGCCAGTTGACCCCTTAATGATATTTTCAAGAATTTTTCCCAAATATGTGAAGGGAAACATTGGCATTACACACATTTCCCTGCTCAACATCAAACACGTCAGTTGCAACTTCATTGCACTCACCATCCACTATGGAACCTGCGAAAAACCACGAAGAAGACGAAACGTACGTCGAAGAAAACGAACATCCAGTGGACATTGCAGCCCACATGCGAGGCTCTCTTCCCCAACATGTGTATGGTAAGTGTGTTCACCTTTTTTCGGTTTATGGTGTGAAGTTGTATGATTATGAAGTTCCCCTATTCGATTGTCTTCACATACTGGGAAATTCAAAAAATTTAAGTGATTTGGTGTATTAGAGCGTAGTGCTTGTGTACTATCTTTTCTGCACATGTTCGTAGTTCGAACTGAAAAGGGCTAGGGCTTAACTTCATTTTTTTCAGAATTTTTTTAGGGAAAAATTCAAAGTACTTCAGCATATGGCTTCATCATGGTGGAATTTTATTTCAGAAGATGAGAAATTTTGTGTATGAGCATGGGAAAATAAGTTATATAGACCATGTCGACCCTGATTTCTTCAATAGATTTCTTTTGGACAATGCCGTGAAGATGTTAGGATATTTTGATAGAATTAGATATCTATACAAGATGGAGAAGAAAAGAATGAGTGAAGCTTCATCTTGGTTGGTTAAAGACTCAGATTTCATGAATTCAGTAAAGTGGCTTGGTGATAATAGGACAGCTGAACTGTTGCTTGCCTGTAGTTGAGGTTTTGGAGTTGCCTTGGGATGAAACAGAACAGAAGGATGTTCAAGCGTTTGATTGTGAGACTGGTGAGGAGTTGGTGAAGGTTCAAAAGTCTGGTAAAGCATTGAATGAGCAACAACCATGCTATGCTATTGAGATTTATGACGAATCAGTAGAAGGTGATGACGTGTATGTAGTTGATGAAGTGGATGACATGGAAGCAGATGAAGAGGAAGTTTTCCTTACAGGAGATTACGTCGAAGAGTTTACAGTGCATGGAACAGAGCATGAGTATACAGAGGTTGATTTTATAGGGGCTGAAGTAGACTCACATGAACCAGAAGTGCATGTTGCTGAACCAGAGAAACCACATGAAGTTGAACTACAGTTGAGGTCTGAACATGAGTTGCATGACGCTGAAGCAGTGGTACAAGCTGCTGAAACTAATGTGCATGCTTTTGAACCACAGCAGGAGCTGCATGCTGCTGAACAAGAGGCACAGGCTGCTGAACATGATACCGAAGCAGAGGTGGAGCCTGCTGAAATTGATGTGCATGCTTCTGGACCACAGTAGCAGGCTGCTGAACATGAGTTGCATGATGCCGAACTAGAGGTGCAGGCTGCTGAAACTGATGTGGAGCTTGATGAACCGCATGTTGACGTATCGGTTGTTGAAACTGGTGCGGAGCATGATGATCCCGAGCTGGATGATGAATATGAGGAGGGTATTTTGGGAGAGGAATTCAATGACTCGGAGTACGAGCACAAAGAAAATATTGCTGTGGAGGATAATGATGAAAACACATATTTCAGGTTGAGTGAAGGTTTTGACATTAGTGTAAGTGGTGAGCATGAAGGTGTAAGGGATGAGCAGGAAGGTGAGGCAGTTGTTAGGGAAGAATCTGGAACAGACTACGAAGACTCCAATGAGCTTAGAAGCTTACCCAGTGATACGGAGGCTGAGGGATCATCTGCCAGAAGGAAGAATGTGTGTTGGTTTAACCCTGCAACTGATATGGATGATCCACAGTTCAAGCTAGGTAATGCATTTGTTTTGTGTAATTCATTTCTGGTTTAATTCATTTGGATGATAATGCATTCTGGTTTAATTCATTTCTGTTAGAGATGAAACTCGACAACGTCAAGATTCTAAGGAATGCAGTAGTTCAATACTCAGTCAAAAATTCCAGGCAACTGAGATACGTGAAAAATATGAGGATACAGTTGAGAGTTCGGTGTCAAGATAATTGCCCTTGGGTTCTGTATGCGTACCAACAACCCGACAAGAGTCTTAGAATTAACACATTTGTAGATGAGCACACATGTACCATGGTGTGGCAAAATAAAAGGGTTAATTCAGGTTTTCTGACAAAGAAATACGTGAGAAAATTTAGGTTTGATCCTAACATTCCAATGAGTAGTTTTATGGAGACTATGAAAGAGCACTGCATGTATGAGATTTCAAAGCATCAGTTCTACAGGACAAGATTGAAATGTGCAAAAGTTATTAATGGGATTGTAGCTGAGCAGTACAAAATTTATGGGATTACGGTGAGGAATTGAAGAGAACAAATCCAGGCAGTACAGTGCAAATCGAAGGTTCGGGAAATACTTTTAAGAGATTATACATCTGCATAGGGGCTTGTAAGGAAGGGTTTAAGACTAGGTGCAGGCTAGTTGTTGGGTTGGATGGATGTTTCGTAAAATCTGCAGAAGGTGGACAGTTGTTGGCAGCTGTTGGCATCGATAGTGAGAACTGTATGTTCCCGTTAGCATGGCAGTTGTAGATGCAGAAAACAAAACAAACTGGCAATGGTTCATAGAATTGTTGGTTCGTGACATAGGGATGTACAACCCTCGAGCTTGAACATTCATTTCTGACAAACAAAAGGGTTTGGTGGTATCCATAAGTCAATACTGTGAAGAAGCGGAGCATAGGTGTTGTGCTAGACATCTTTATAGCAATTTCACCTTGGCACACAAAGGTCTAGCACTTAAGAACCAATTTTGGACTGCAGTAAGAACAACAACAGTGCCAGAGTGGAAAAGTGCAATAAATGAGTTAAAAGACATAAGTGAAGAGGCTTACAACTGGTTCCTTGGAAAACCTCCTTCCCAGTAGACTAGATCCCATTTTGAAGAGCATTTGAGATGTGATATTCTTCTTAATAATTTGTGTGAGGCATTCAATTCTTCCATTGTTGTTGCCAGAGACAGGTCCATCATCTCGATGCTAGAGAAAATTTGGCATCAGCAAATGATAAGGATGAATGCAAAAAGGGAAACAGCACAGAGGTGGGATCATGCATTCGGGCCAAGAATTGTGAAAATCATTGAGAAGGCTAAGTCTGAGGCAATGTACTTGAAGGCAAACTATGCAGGCAACCATAAATTTGAGATAAGCAGCAGAGACGGTTTGAGGTGGAGCGTTGACTTGACAAAACATGCATGTGCATTCAGAAAATGGCAGCTCACTGGAATATCATGTCCCCATGCAATATCAGGCATGCTTTCAAGGGATATTGGTATATATGAGTACATCGACCCATGGTATAGCAAGGAAACATACCTCAAATGTTACTCCCCAGTGATCCACCCGATGTCAGGGCCTGAACTGTGGCCAGAATTGGGAAGCATCCTCTCAATAAACCTCAGAAGAGAAAATAGGCTGGCAGATCCAAAAAACTGAAGAAGAGGTCACAGGCAGAGCCACCTACAGGCGTTAAGATGGGAAGGACTAGCATGAAGATGACGTGTAAACGCTGTGGAGGGTCTGCACATAACAAAAGAAGCTGTAAGGAGGCACTGCCTGGTGAAGATAATTCACAGCAACAGTCTCAACCAATCACACAAATAGAGTCCCAAGAAGATACACATACCAGATCAGCGAAAGAGAAGAGAAAAGCACATTCAACGGAAACCTCCAAGTCACAGACAAAGAAGTCCAACAATAGAGGATCGCAATCTTAAACATCATGTGGTTTCTCTTGTATAGTTACTTTTTTGGGAAAATGCTGTGATTTTTTGTAAACTAAACGGGAAATATGTGCTTCCAATGCTGTTATTTTGTAGATGTAATTGGAATTTTTGATGTAATTGTTCAATGTGATGATAATGTTGATGTCGAATATCTTGCATTATGTTTCCGCTGTTTGTCGTTGGTTTCTGAAATTGTATTCATATGATCTGATGTACAAGCGATTAGGAAATATATGAGAATGTTTTTTACTTCCTCTGAAAGTATTATCAAACGTTTGGTACCTTTACTGCAATGTTTTTAAAGGTTTGGTACTCTGTCTGAAACCATTAGAAAGAGTTTGGTACTGATTCTGCGAATCTTTATAAAGTTTGGCACCTATGCTGCACCTTCTTCAGATAAGTTTGAAGTGTAATCAACTCTTTTAATTTCGCATTTTACATAGAGGCCAGAAAAAGATCGTTAAATTTCAAGTCAAAAGGTACAACACAATTTTTCCTTTTTACATATGCATTTCACAACATCTAGCACATGGCTCCATTTTGAAACCCTAAACTCAAATTTTTGGAACAAAAAAACTAAAATCCTACAATCTGACCCTAAATACTTAGGAACAAACCCATTTTGCAAACACTCCACACACAGCTAAAGAGCCAGATCTTCCACACATTTGGTCTTGTTGCTTGAAGGGTGTTGATTTCAGCTTCCATTTCCCTCCTAGCTCGTAATAAACCAGGAATCAATTCCTTCGATCTCTCACATATCGGAGGGTCACACCACATAAAGAAGGTGCATCCACCCACATCTTGGCTTCGAGGACAAGTGAGAAATCTTCTTCCCGAGTTCAAGTTCATCCACGAGGTCTTCAACTGCACTGGGGAACCACATCTGCATACATTCCCCTCCATGTGCGTGCTGATTTTTTTTACTACATTTGAGAAAGAGGGTAGGAGATAATATATAGTGTTAAAGAAATGGAGGAAAATAAACAGTGAAGTATATAATAGAAGGGAAATGTGTGTAATGCTCATGTTGCCCTTTACTTATTTGGGGAAAATTCTTGAAAATATCATTAAAGGGGTCAACTGACGGTTTTGGCGGTCAAACAGATGGAAATCGTCATTTTGGATTGGCCCCACACATTTTTTAAAGGCTTGGTATCTTCGGTGGCACAAACAAAAAATTTGGGCAAAGTCTGCTAATAAACGAAAAGTTTGGTATCTCAACTGCAATTTTCCCTATTAAATATAACAAGAGAACAGAAAAATTCACTATCGAGAGAAAACAAGAATTGATACCTAGTGCCAATTCAGAATCCATTAGAAATTCAGAGAACCAAAAATATTCTTTAAGTAGTACAAGCAGTAAGCAACCAATACATGAATGGTTCTTTAGGACTCACTAATAAGGAAACTTAACAGGATTTGTGTTTATTGCAACATACATGTCACACTATAATTAAATTGTCATAAAAGTCAATCATCTTGAAAATTCTTCTACTCTATATGGCTAGGAAAAAAATCCGTACAGTAGAATAATAGTGATGGCCTTTCAGGACATGCAGGTCTGTATTAAGCAAACTTACGACGTTGAATGTCGTATACATATAGGGAATAAAAGGCAAGTTACTTATCAAGAGGGTAACAACCTTTCAATATGCAGCCATCTTTAAAAAAAATAATAATAACTAACAAATTGCAATAAAATTAATTAATCATAAAATACAGCCCAAATAGAACAAACTCACTCTACATAAATCTCTTTCATAGCAATAACTAAATAACCCAGACCAGCATTTACCACATGTTCCTCATTATTTTGGGAAATTACAAAACCTTAGCAATAAACTTAGCAAAAGGAGTGGACTAAGAGAAAAGAAATCGATGAACAATACAGAAGACCTTAGCTTCGTATACTCTTTAAATAGCATCACATGATACTACAGTTTTGAAGGGAGGTAGTGGAACATGTAAGGAGAAAAACAAGTGAATTTTATATAGAATTTTGGAGGAACAAAAATAGGGTATAGACAGGTTAGCAGTGTTTTGCAGATAGCGAAATATGCAATGTGAAAACAAAAAAGAACCAAGTGAATTTTCAATTTGAATGAAAATACGATAGAGATAATAGTATGATGTCAAAAGAAGTGGCATTTGAAACATGTCAAAGCAGTATTAGGATAGTTTAAAGGTATACAAACACCTAATAATGAAACTGTTACACTCCTACACCAGTGGCTGGTTTCTGCAGATAACAATTCACAGCAAAACCAAGACAAAACACTAGTATATGTAGAGGAGGACTTATATTCTGTAATTGAAGAACTGTAGCACAGTAAAATATATAGAAAACAGTGACAGAGTGCCTTTCGCTATTAAAGGAATTTAACAGTAAAGAAATTGAAATGAAACAAATGGTTATTTGGCTTTAGAGAGGCCAATGCTCTCCTATATGTTTCCACCAATTCTCTGCATATCTTTTCTCTTCCCTCTAGCTCTGTTTTATAGACCTGGCTCCATAACAACGTTGCTAACGACTTTAGGGGCTCCCACGTGCTGGTTAAGTATCTCTGAGTTGTTTTCCTTTTCTGCCCTTATGGTTTTCTTGCGTCTGTTATATATTAACTGAATAGACAGCTTATCAGAAACTTGGTGGTGGAGTGAGATGGTTCATTTTCAATAATTAAAAAATTACATACATATGAAATGCCGATACAAAAAGCAAATTAACTAACTTTGAAGCCAATAGGGGTGACTTGGGAGTTCCATGTGGAAGCATATGAGAAATAGTTCAGATGTCAAGGAACCAATGATGGAAGGAAAGCTATCGAAAGATATCTTGCCTAAGGGAGAAGGGAAATAGAAATATATTCGAGTCAAGTGTGTTAAAACATGTGAACCACAGAATTAATTTTGTAGGAATAACATCAGAATGTGTTTTTGGTTAATTCTGGCATGCCGAATGTGTCGACAATGTATATCCCGCATATTGGCATCGTGTCCAACTATACAAATAACAAAACTAATTTGGACACTCTACCTAACATTTTTGACACTTATCAGTGTCGTATCAGCAACCGATAACTCGCCTTTGGTAGGAGGGTGTTGTGCATCTTAGCCAAGTTTAAAAGACAAATTAAGCACAATAGTTATTAGCTGTGCAATAATTTATGCTATTGAGTGTTATGTATTTCATGGACAGTCTCTATCAGATGAAAAATGAGAATACACCTCTGTAAGTGATCAATAGGAAATATTGTTCATTTAACTTTCACACTGTCAAAGATCCATAGATAATACACCTTTATAAGTTTACAAGTAAAAGTGTATCAGGACATATAAAACATAATGCATTCACTTCTCTCTATTCTCTTCTAGTGTGCCACACGTTTGGACAAAGACGTTGGTACAGCAGCTGTATTCCAATGTTAGTTAGATTTGATATTAATTTCGTGAAAGACACGTTCTACTCCATGCCTGTATGTCTGTTAATCTTGAAACACAAGGCATCAACTATTTCGATTTACTATCGATTGTCCCCATTGACAAACACCGTGTTTCTTTTTTCCTTCGGATTGCGATGAATATAGATACATGAATCAAAATCATATTACAACGCAAAAATAGTATATAATCAACCACCCAAAATAACAAAAACAATATGGGGACCAACAAATATTATCCTACAAATCCACATTTCTTGTATACCAACCAATCACTTACATTAATCCTGATTCAACTAAAGCCACTTAGTAATTAATCAAAAGTGTATGGAAATTGAATAATTCACCTCAAAACCCAACACGACACTGCTTCGGGCCACTGGTTAATGTCCCCGATCTCCCATTACTCGGAAATGCAACAGCCAAATCCTCGCAAAACACCTTCAGCGACCTTTTTCGCGTCGGCCATGCCTTCGCTTCGAGCCTAACCGTCGAAAACATTCTCAAGCTGAACCCCACATTCCCATTATTGTCCCTCTCATTATTTATCCCATCCACTACTGACTTATCCACAAAACTCCCAGCGGCAGCAAAATTTGCCTTTAAAGATGTCTCATTTTTGGTATCCTGGAAAAAGGGTGGAACAGTAGTATCCGAAAGGGTCTCTGATTTGTATAAAATCATGGCCACGATATGATCGTAATCAACTGTCATTTTCTTATTCGGGTTCCGCGCAGTAAGCCGGGCTTCTGAGGTAAACGAAACAAGAGAATCGTTGGTAATAATAAAATTGGAGAACGAAAATGAGTCGACCCGGAACTCAGGAAGCTGGGGGCGGAGGACAATCCAAGCAATGAAGGCGATGGTACCAGAGATGATGACAAGTCCTACAATAAATGCAAAGATGCGGCGGACACAGGTGGCGCGTCGGACCAAGGCAGGGTCAGGTTGGTAACTTTGTTGGGAGTATGGGTAGTTTTGGTAACTGGTGTAGGAATTGGGGGCGGCATAGGGATAAGCAGTGCCAGTCGGTGGCGGATTAATGGAGTAACCATTGGTATTGACAGGATAACCAGTGACAGGTCTATTGGGGTCTTCCATATGCACAAATTACAACATCTGTAGAATAATTTGAGATCGGAAGAAATTCCCAATTACAGTACTATAATGTTCCTTGGACGGCAAAATCAAATAATATGCTGATAGACACAAGGTTGAGATTGGGACTCCCAATGTTTTGCTTTGGAAAAAAAAAAATTTATTATTATCAACGTTTTAAAATATGACAAGGTTAGCCGGACATCTAGAAGGTGAAGGTTAACACTAAAATGTGGGAACGAATTGATAATCGATTGGTTTACTATGTACGGATCAATTCTTAGTTTACATTAGTCGGTTCTTGCATTGTTTTAACTTTTATCCATTTCTCTAACTCGGTCTAGCTTCAATAACATTATTTATTATTGATGCTGCCTAAATTTAAACTTGTGAATACTTAATCTTGACGATAGGGAATGAGCACGAGTAAGATTTTCAAGACCTGAAACAAAAGGTGTCGATGTGTGTTCTTGTCAACTTTTCGATCGCTCAAGTTAGTAAAAAAAAAAATATAAATGTGAAACTGTGAATGTAAATAATGTAATTCGTATCTGAATAATGAATAAGTGTTTTGTATTTATATAGCCTGACCGTGCAATCAAAATAGGATTAGATTACTTTGATGCCTTAACCATTCAAAAGTTCTAAAGGATGTGAGAGTACTGCGACATCTGTACATTGGAGGTTTCATTGGAACTGCTTGGCTATAATAGTAGTATAGGATTAGGACTATGGCAGCATAGTCCTCCATAGCCAAAGGCCAATGGTTCTTGGAGGAAAAAGAGGGAAGGGATAGGCAATGTATTTGGCCCACATTTGACTACATATCCGAGCATGACCCAAGGTGAGGAATCCTAAGAATTGAATTAAGCCAAGTTGCCATATCCGAGCATGACCCAAGGTGAGGAATCCTAAGGAAGAATTGAATGAAGCCATGTTGCCAAATAAATTTTGACACTTTGGATTACTTATTCTCACATGTGCGCAAGACCCACGTAGAACCCCGTGTGAATAAAAAATGCAAAAAAATTCCCTCCACCCACCTTTATTGTGATGTCAACTAGGATGTTAAAAAATTTCTGACACACTAACATAATTGGAAAGAATGTAAGACACCTTGGGAAATGGACCGTGCTGCTCTACCAGATATGTAAATGATCTGGTAGAGCAAATTCTTTTTTTTTTTTGATAACCCAGGTGTCCCAACTTAGCCGGACTAAATCCTGGACCTCTAGCCCCCGGCCCCTCAGTAACTAGTGGAGGTAAATCGCAGGTTGTGCCCTTGTTGGTTCCCAGGTTCCCACATGGCTTTTACTCCTTCCCCAAAGGGACCCTCCTCCATGGTTATTACATCACCAAACTGCTCCAACCCTTCCTCTGGTTATTACATCACTTGGCTGCTCCAACCAGGAATCGAACTCCCCACACTTGGTTCCAAAGCCCCCCAATGTGATTGTTCCACCAACTTGGATGTGCCCTGGGGGGCAAAACTGTGTAGGGTAAACTTTTTAAAGTGACTGGCCCCACCGCACTGCGGCCCCATACTCCAGAAACCCCACCTCCGGCCTGGCCCTACGGGTTAGTATACACCGCTTGGCCCTACATGTATGGAGGGATTTTTTGGAGAGGCACAGTACCACCATGCTGGTAAGAGGACTCGAACACGGAACCTCAGCCAGCAATGCCAATGTCCTTACCACTAGAGCAAATAGACATCGGCTCTGGTAGAGCAAATTCACTCACATTTGGGGGTGAGGGTGAGTGTTTTTTTTTTTGACATTTTTTTTTAATAATGGGTCCCAATGGAGGACCCATTGTTGTGAGAGAGGCTCCTCTACCAGATCATTTTCAGGTCTGATAGAGGAGCAAAATCCTTGAGAAATATAAGACTTCGAGCCCAATCGGATCCCCTCTTAAGGTTAACATAAAACTTACACACCAGTTACCATTAAATGATATTAACTTGAGCTTTTTACTTTTTTTTTAAATACTATTTATTAATATTTGTAATATTAATATCTATTGTGTATAGTTCGTTGCACATTTTATGTATATGACTAAAGAATTGATACTTCATGCTTAGTTTACATTGAAGAAAAAAATACCCAATCAAAATTATCATTATACACAATCATATTTTTATAAATAATTGAGATTTTTAGTTTTTAAATATATTTTTAAGAATGTGGGAAGTGCAACTTGTGTATATATGAAATTTCTACATTTTTAATGTTTTTAATTTACAAGAATAATTAATTAATTAACAATATAATTTATATTTTCATAATTTAATACAAATTTGTGTTGGATTTATTTTCGTAGAAAATTTTCATTGAAAATTTGGAATGAAATTAATTCCACAAGAAATATAGGAATTTATCGATGGAAATAACAATAAAATTCCATCGATAATTTTTTATCGAACGAAATTATTGTTAGAATTGTTGTTGATAACTACTATATAAATTCGTAGATATTTTCGACAGACTCGTTGGATTTATTTTCGTAGAAAATTTTCATTGAAAATTTGGAATGAAATTAATTCCACAAGAAATATAGGAATTTATCGATGGAAATAACAATAAAATTCCATCGATAATTTTTTATCGAACGAAATTATTGTTAGAATTGTTGTTGATAACTACTATATAAATTCGTAGATATTTTCGACAGACTCGTGTGTAAATAAATTCAGATATCACCAATGGTTATATTACTATCAAAAAATTATCTACAGGACTTCTATCTATGATTAGTACTGTTGAGAAAATTTCGTAGTAGTGACAAAATATCGGTCTTTAGTGATGGAAAATCTATTGTCGAAGTCGCTGTTTCTAGTAGTATAAATACATGAAATTATAATCTACTAGATTCGTCCACTGTCCTCGAGCATCATTCCTTTAAGACTTTTAACAAGCTAAATAGCTGTATTCCTGACAGAAACCTTTTTCCTTTCCAGAAGGTTTCAAAATGACTGCAAGTTTTCCAGTCTATCCGGCTGAAGCTATGTTTGGGTATGTGTTTACTAATGTCTGATTATTTTGGTGAACAGTGGTATTTTACATTTCTTTATAGTGTAAACTTAATCAAATACTCTTTGAATTGTAATATTGTTATCCAATGCTCACTCATCTTTAATGAATTATTCAATGCTCACTCATCTTTCAAGTTAGATCACCGCGCTTATGTGCTCATAAAACAATGTCGTCTCAATTGAGCACATATATTTGTGGTCGTAGAAAATAATAGAAAGTCAAATGATTTTTCTTCATAAATTCAAAATATCATTTTTAGAATTAAATAATCCCATCCATTTCAAATTCAATCCACACTTAACTTATGTTTGACCCTATTTTTTAAAACTCATTTTCAACAACATATTCTCTCATAAATAAATATTTCATATAAATCGAAAACTTTTCATTATATTTAACTACACATTCTCCAAAAAATCACTATTTCAAAACTCATTTTCTCCAAATTTTTATTAAAATGGAGCCCAAACACGAGCTGAAGTATGTATATGAAGTATTTATACATGATTTAAATTATAAATAAATGAAAATGAATGATAGTAGATAGGTAAAAAAATAATTTTAAAAATATTAGTCAAATATGGGCAAAGGATGCAAACAAGGATATATTTATATTTCGTGAGCTGTAATATTGACTGTAAAGGTTTTCTTTACAACAATTTCCTTTGAAAGTTGCGATTTAACACGGCTTTTTAGTAATTGCATTTTGCAAAAGAATTTCCTTATTATCCGACGAAAAATTCTTCAAACTGGATGAAATATGAGGGATTGTGGAAGAGGAAGGATCTATTACCTTGAAAACTAATTTCTTCACTGTAAATCTATCATCAGCATCAGAAGCTGAAGTGACTTTTGATTGGACCATGACTTTAGTGGGGTCGATAGTTTGAGCATCCTTTTTTTTCCCCATGAGTAATTCTTCACAGGAAGTAACTGGAATCTCCATAGTTTCAAATGGAGTCAATTTCTCATTACAGGCACCAGCATTCATAGCTCGATGCTCTGAGTGTTCCTCAAATGCTCTTACAGATGATACCATAGACTTATCCCTGCTTCTGTGATTTTTCTCTAATGGATATGTTAGCCTTTCAATGTGTGACGAGGAAGTGGAACAGCTCGGTTGAGACTCAGCAACTTCAATTTTAGAGGTTAGCGTCTTCTCTTATTTTTCATCATTCCAATGAACTTCCACATATTGATTTTTCAGCCTCTCAGAGAGTGAAGAGAAGGCTGAAAAGCTAGGTTGAGATTCAATTTTAGTGGTTCCTAGATTCTTGGATTTATTTTTATTCCCGTGATTTTCCATGTTTTGATTTTCTAGCCTTTCAGAGAGTGAAGAGGAGGCTGACGAGTTGGGTTGCGATTCAATGATATCAATTTCAGTTAGGGGTGGCAATTCAGTCAAGGGGCTCTTCAAAATGGGGCTGGTGGGCCGCTTGGGCTTATAAAATAGCGAGTCTAAGCCGAGCTCGACTGCCCGTTTGGCGAGCTGAAACGGCTCAGCTCGCCAAACAAGCGAGCGCTCGTTGGCCAGTCCATGAGCTATGATTGTGGGGTCACAAAAAAAGGAGCTAGGTTGTGGCTCGTGTAGTTATAGTGACCGAAAAAAGAAAAAAGGGGTCAATGAAAACAAGAAGATCGGGAACTACCAGAAAGAGTTGCCAGCATTGAGGAGAAATCCTTTCCTGAATGATGATCGGTAAAGTGACCATTTTCGATCACTGGACATAGTTTAGTCACCATTAGCAACAGTCACTGAACTATGAATAGTGGCCAAAACGGCAACAAACTTTTTTTCCCAAAAATTTTCTATGAATACCTATACACCCCTATTTTCATCTTCACAACAATTACATAATCTCTGTCAACTCTCAAGTCTCAATTCTATATTTATTTGTGACATTTATACAATAATTCTCTCAAATCTACATTTATTTTTACTACAATTATACTTTTACTGTTTTACACTCATACTTACTAGTTACTACATTTCGATTTCATCACAAACAAATGGATCCACACTCATTTGTTGATGGCTTGTTCGGTATGAGAAGAGGTGAATCGCCTATGAAGTTGCAAAGTCAATTTCAAAATGAATTTTTTGATCTGAATGATGTACCCATACTAGAAGATATTCCATATTTGGATGCTTATCAAAGAATAA